ATGTTTACAAAAACTTTGCGAATTTAAGTGTTCTTTTAAGAGGTAGCATCTGTTTTCTATTTTATGTTTCAGAAATTTACAGATTTTTGTTAAGTAATTTGTGTTTATTTTTATTTTTATGAGCGAAAAAATGAAATTATTTTACGACTGATGGTCATCAATAATTTGAAAAAGTTGTTTTCGAAACAATAAGCACCTTACTCTTGGAAAACTACTATTATTTAATAACTTCGTTGTTTTTCATGCAACTGTTGGGGAACATTAACTTTTGAATTATTTTATAACCAACTTAAGGCTATTTTTTTTAATCGTAACTAAAAATATTGAATAATGTGTATCTGTTATTCCAGGAGAAGCGTTCAGAAAGATGCAGGTATCTGTCCTGAAAGTATTAATTGAATACATTTGAATACAAAGTGGAAAATAATATTTGCATTTACGTACTTCGAAACAATAAGTTATAATTGGATTTCCGTTAGCTAACCCAAATTACAATTGGTTTTGGTTAGATATTGTACAAATTTTTTCTAAAATATTTGCAAAGCAGATGTTGCAGACAAGACATCATTTTTGCGAAAAACACTTCCACTTTTTTTTTATAAACTGAAACGAGTAACTGTTTTGAAAAAGGAAAAAGAGAGGATTTAAAAACAAATTTGTAGAAGCGTAGATATTATCGAAGTGTTGCGCCTCCCCCTCAAATTTAACTGACAGTAAAGGATATAAATTTCTTCACCACATTCTGAAATTTGCTTTTTATCGCCTTCTTTATCAATTTAATTCCGCAGTATAAAAATGATTTCCAAGCGTCATTAAATAGATTTATTTAGACTCATCAATAATTCAACAAGTTTATAAATGAAACAATAGCTCGATCTAATTGTTACTGACAACTGCTTTAATGCTATGTTGTTGACCTTTAAAGCAGAGATTTTAATTGGAAATTGGATATGTGGCAAAAATTCGTTGAACGAAATCAACTTTCTTTGACAAGGCTTGAAATAAATTCTTATTGGTTTGACAAAAAGTTAGTTAACTTAAAAATATATTCTGGCAAATGACGACACAGAAGCGGCAATGCCAACTGGAAAGGTCAAAGTACAGATTCTGGAATAATTCGTTGAAAAATTGAATTGTTTGAACAGAATGCATTTTACGACCTGATTAGCAAAATAACGAAACACAGAATAATGCAGGAAACGATTCTCTCTGTAATCGGAAAGCGTCAGTATTAACTAGCAATTAAGCTGAGGGCGCTGGAATAATAACGAATATGGCGTGTATGGGAGGAGCAATAATTGATGGCTGAATGGGGGCAGACGCAAAAGCATGATTTACTAATCACAAGGGTGGGATTTTTTGTTTTCTACATCTACAATAATTGAAACATATTTATATGAGATTACAGGATTGTTTTTAGTGAGTATTGAGAAAAAAGGACGTAGGTTCTTCAAACGAATTCGGTTGCAAATTTGGGTATAGAAGCTACAAATTCTGTCCTTTTAGATTCGGTTTTACCAACTAGCTGCCTTTCTGCCTACTTGTTTCTGTTCAAGCCGTTTCATTAATCATAAATGAAAGAATAACCAAATTACTCGGTCCATTTTGCGACAGGAAATTATGGTAGTGGTTCTGATCTCGAAACCCTCAAAACGATACAGCCACGCAATATTGTTGGTTTAGGTTGATTTAGCGTACAAATTTAGTGCTGAGCCGTTACAGTCCACTGAATGTGAATTATAAATGCTTCTGGTTACCCCATATTTGTAAGAGAACCCTGTTAAACTAATATTAGAACAAGTCACTTTCTGGTTTTACCGCGGGAAACAATTCACTTTTCCTGTTAAATTTATAACAAGATAGAGTTAACTTGCTTCATTTTAATTAATAAAATTTGTTGAAAATTGTCGTCTATTTTCTAAAATAGGTCCAGCGTTAATTTGCTACTCATACAATATGAATGGAAAGGACCTCATTCTTGAAAAGGGTCAACACTTTGCGTTGAATAGTTATATTTATAATCCACTATCCCCGTCCTACGGCTAATATCTCTAATGTCAAATTATATTATTTTGCCTCTGTATATTCCTGGTTGCTAGGCTGTTAAATTATGAATTATGTAGCTAATTTTAGGTTTTAGTTGGTTATAAGAGGGCTTTCCTTTGTGAAAATTTGTCTGAAATGTGCTAATGATGTAACCATTTGGGAGATTAATAGACGAAAATGATGTGGATGTCAAATGTTCTGTGTGGTTGCTAAAGAAAGTCTCAGATCACATATTAGGGACTGTAAATGCTGCTCCTGCTCTATTACTTACCGCAAAATTATTGCCGCTAGCCCATAGCAAGTTTTATGCTCTTATTTTTAACAGTTTATTTTAGGGAACACAAAACCATATAAAATTAATACTTTTTTTATTCATCTTTACTTTTATTAATGATACTAGATGTTGTTTTAAAATTACATTTTTTTTAGTATATTTTTACTTGAGCGTTTAATTACAGATACAAGAAGTAACTAAGTGCTGAAAAATTAAAATGTTTGCTAGACATCTAAGAAACATGATCCATTTACAGCAGTAATGTCAGGTCAATAGTACTACTTGATAAAATCAAATGTGACATTAATAATGCCAGTAAAGTTCGACAGTTTCAGCTTGAGGGTTTTAATGCTTGATTATTAATGCTACATTTGCTAAAGTGCAAAGTAGGTAGTAAAGAAAAATTGAAACAAGGACTTTTTAAAAAGTATACTGGGAAATATTGAATCAAAAGTTTTAAACATTTTTATACAGTTTCCTCGTTTTTAAATCGATGAAAATATGCGATTTCTATTTATGATAATGTTTATGGTTAATTGCGTTTTAAATTTTCGTCTCTTATCTTAATTCCACACGGGATCGATAAGGCAAGTCACGTACAGATTAACACACTCGTTAAATATTGGCACGCAGAATTATATTTTTCCACGTTCATCAGATTCAGTTCCATTCATTCCGGTTTTATGGCTGTTTGTTCGTTATCAATTCTGTATACACTGAGAAAAATACGAAAATCCAACGAGTGGGTTTCGTCATTCTGAAATCTTGTTTGATTTATGAAATTGCTCGGCTGTAAAATAAAATTATAAAATCTTGATCGGTTAAAAAATTGAAAATTTCCAAGTTACGAGACAATGCGTATAGCGCATTTGCTAACCCTCAAGTAACAGGTTGCAGGGGTGTTTGCCTGCTTCAGAGCTTTCTCCGAAATCGATCTGATGCAATCATGGAGCAGTCTCAAAGTAGGTACTTGTAAAATCGCATTGAGCAGATTTGTTTTGTATACTATGGACGCTCTTAGACATTAAAGCTAATTTGGAGCTCCATGTGGAGGTTCCTACATATAAAGTTAGATTAAATTTAGTCCCGAGTGAAAATGCATAATAGAGAAAATTTGTCGATATAATATCGTATACTGCTTCGATTTAATTAAATATAGGAAAAGGGATCAAGTCAAACAACAAGAAATTTCAGTGTCGGTGAACAAAAAACATCGGTTCTAGTGTTGAGGTTAACTCAGCTTTTAGAAATTTGCCGCCGCTTTAAAGAATTTGATGGAATTGGTGATGTAAATTGGGATTGTTATTCAACTCACCGACTTTACCAAATAGATTTACAGTTTGGGTGATTCGTCAAAGGGACTTTGACCAATTCAGAATCTGTTCGAAATTCCTGTGCTAAAAATTGGTTTACTTCAGTGCGAACATGTCTTTATTTCTTGCCAAGCACGCTGAACTTTAAAAAGATTAAAGTGTTACTTTTTTAAAAGAAGAGCTGGTTTGTAAGCTTTTAGTCATACCTAGCAGAAATGAAGCAGATAATAAAGTTTTTATTTTCTTTTGTTGCTTTCAAGGAAATGCCAGTACACATTGCACACCACCTGATGCATCTTTAGTCCCCGTCATGGTTTCATAATCTAAAGGCTTTCCTGTCTTTATGCAAATGCTCTCACGAAGGTTATTTGAATAGATGGCGAATGTAAACCTTGTTTTAGAGGGGTCAATTGAAATTGCTCTTCGAGGTTATGTATATGTATACTAAACATAAGATGGGAGATTACCGGAGATAATAATGTCAACATACGCAAATCTTGGGGTTTAGCGTATTTTAGGAAAAACTTAAAACTTTCAGTGTTTACTACAACTATGTAAGCTTGGATGGAAGTCACTTGAGCTTTGTTGTTATGTTGTTAATGATTCCTAAAAGTGATAGCGTCGAGCAGTTTTCGTCAAATTGAATCTTTCATTTTATAACTAGTCCCAAAAGATAAGAAATTTATTTTTTCTATTCCATTGAGAATGGACCATCAAAATAACGTATACCCTAATATGGGCTTATATTGGAATTGCATTATAGTTCTCAGCTTCTTGCATATAGATACGTCAGCCGTAATTTAATTGTGCATGAATTATTTTTAAATTAATTATTTTTCAATTAATAAATTGTCCGAAACGCCGGCGAATTATTGAATAAAGCGTAATTGGTTCAATTTTCTATTATGTATTAATTCAAACAATTTATACCTCAAAATGAACAATTCAATTTTTAATTATTATTATAGGCAAATGTATTTGAATTGAATAAAACATTTTTTGTATTTCAGTTACTTATGTATGTATACACATACACAATTTTTTGCTTAGTTGAAGATGTGTTCAAAATGACTAATTTTTTAATTAACGCTAGTTTTAATTTTAAATTCTTTTGTCTTAAGTTCTTGAAATAACTAATAGCGCGTAATAGCGCAGTTAGAAGCTGGTGCTGCATTGCTTAAATGGTTGTCGGTAACAGAACTGTTTGACATCGATCGTAATCTATTACGCTTTCGGGAATAATAATGGAGAGCAGTGCAGTCTCAGGTTGATTGGAGCAATTTTTATAGTTGCATTAACTAAAATGTAATTTTTGTGTCACAATTTGTGCAAAATTCTTGCAACCAATTTATTTTTTTCTGTTGCAGAAAGTAAAGGCAGCGAGAGTAGAAGAATGGTAGACATTACGAGAGACAAACCGATAAAAGTGGCAGTCAGGGTAGTTGTGCCTGTACGAGACCATCCTAAAGTAAGTTATAATTACTTCGTTTCTTAATTCTTACTTCGTATTCTCGCCGTAATCGCAGCAATTTAATTTCAATTAAGAAACGAAATCTTATTTCTTTCATCATGGAAGTTTTTCTGTGGTGTAATTTAGTAATTGTGGAAGAAACCAGACGTGTATATTTATATATTTTAGTCGTAATAATAACATGTCTTGAGAATAGAGTTCAAAGGCCGAACTAGTATATAAACTGCAACACTGTTTTACTATGTTGGTTCTGGGTAATATTGTTGCCGTGTTGAACTTAACTGAGCAAATAAAACTGAACAAATCTTAGGGAGTTTGGTAGTCCCATGTGTACTCACTTTAGACTTACAGGAAGTTATGCGAGGCATTGTTATAGAAAACAAATCCATAGTATCCCGAGTTAGACCAGATCGATATCACCAAGTAAACCATTACAAATGTTACAGCTTTTAGAGTTTGAAAATCCTTCATACCATAAGTAAAATTTATAAAACTTTTTCCGTCTATTAAAAATTAAAAGAGAGGATAAAGAAAGTTTTAATCGAGGAGTAAGTGCAACGTTGACCATTACTTACAGTTAGAAAGTTGAAATAACTTTTTGAGGTCTTCATACTTTAACGAAAAGCTTTATTTCCAAGTCACTTTGACTTATTCTGAAAAAGTTTTACCAAATTAAAAATAAATGTTTTAAATCAAAATTGGTATGCAACGTTGCAAGCATCGAAACTCTAACTTTGACAAGGTACAAAAAATTCTCTCAACAACGGATAATTTAGTTTGCTCTTTTTATTTTAAGTAGAGTTGTTGGTCACCGAGTTTAAGAAGTTGGTTTTTTGCTTATTAAAGCTTTAACCAGCAATGTGTAAAAACAAGGTTTTAATTAACTGAGTTTTGAGAGAAAAACTTTGACGACCTCACTACTAGAGGAAAAATATTGGTAATTATTTTGAAATAACTCACTGAAATTATCTCGTTCTATGTTAATGAGCTTCAATATGTTGAGTTAATTAAATCAATTTGGTAAGTTTAATTAGTGTGCTTATGGGTTAACAGGGTGATTTCGGAGTTTTACCATAAATCAAGACGTCAGCAATTTATCCCTTGATAACAAATCATTTACTTGATTTACTTGATACTAAATGTGGTTTAATTACTTGCGATTTGCGTGATTATCTGTAAAGTCACAACAGATTTTTTTCACCGATCAATCACAGGAATGTATAACTCAAAAAAGTGATATTCAAACAAACAAATCCATTTATATTCCCTCCGATGATTTATATTGTTTGTTATCAAACAGAGATGTAGTAATAAATATCTATCTCTCAAGTATAGTTTAATCCTATTAAGTTATTAAGATTCTTCCGGAAGCTGAAACTTTTAACCCAGTTTGTACATACATACAACTTGAATATTTCATCCTGTCAGGGAAACATGCTAAACACTAACACTTGGTCCATATGCCAGCGAAAACTTTGTAAAAATACAACGCATTGTTTCAGAGATAACCTGAATAATTTATAGCTTCGTTTGTACCGAACAACTTCAACTTCCATTCAAAACAGGAAAATCTTCATATATATTACGATGGAAAGCTCTAGATCAATGAATTTTTTCCGGGGGATGTCGTAGACACAAGAATTTTTTATAGAGTTACGATTATTTGATAATATAAAATTATAATAACATTTTATGGCAAGAATGCTAGACTCGGAGCTTAAATATTCCATCTGCATAAAAAGGAAAATACGTCTGGGTTGCACTAGCAATAAAATGTCTTTATTCAGTAGTGACAAGTACTTGGAATAAGTGGTCTCACTAAAAACAATTTATTTTTTAAGTTGAATAAATTAAAAACTATCTAATATATTTTTTACCAAAAAACTTCTACTGGGGTGTTGGATTTTTTATTGCAATACATGTGTTCCAGGAATTATTAAATTAACATATCTTGACGAGAATTGAGGTTAATAAGTGTTTTTTGAGAAGTTGTTCACAAAGGCTAAATAAATGAATTTTTTTATTTTCAAGAGTTTTATTCCATTTTTGCAATATTAAATAGGATCATAAAAGTTTTATTATTTATTATATTTACAGTTGTTGCATCTGAATTCATGTTCTGCATTAATTGGACTTAATCAAAAAATGACAAAACTTTCACAAACTTTTAGTTGTTCCAAACCTGTTAATCACATTCGATTTAACTTTATCACGAGTTTGTATAACTATTCTGGAAGTTAGCTTAGCAATTATGATATGTTTATTTACTCACACATTTGCAATGCCTCTTCTACACCTTTCCAATTTAATGAACACATATTTACTCATTCCATGATTAATAATCCCGTCAGTTCCAAAATGAACAAGGGTCTTTATTGTTAATTGTCTTTTGTGACGTTGCTTATAATAATAATTTGAATCAGAATTTGGGAAAATATCGGATAACCAGAACTATAATCCAAGAATTCGTGCTTGCATAGCATCTGACAGAATTTTGGTTTTTGCATCAAACAAATACATGAAAGGTAAAGATTATGCAGGATAAAAGTCGCACGTATGTTTCACGAAGGTACAAAGGTAGATAGATCTCTTTTAAAAAATTCAGTATACTTTTCATTCACTGCTCGGATCGCATCATATTAAGACAAATTTTTATTCCATCCTTACAGAAATGCAGTCGAATTTTTTAATAATAATTCTAAGTACGTACTGCTTTCATGAGTCATGGGAATACAGACTACAATGAATATTAATTCTCGTTGCGTTATTTTAAAGACAAATGCATTTGGTATTTTGTTTTAAAAAATAGATTAGCTAAAAATTGGAAAGCGAATTTCGATATGAAACAAGATTCTTTTCTCTAAGATGTAGTTATTTTTCTGAGATGTCTTTATCAATTATAATAAAATTTATTCACAATGGTCTCGGCATTATCTCATTGTCTAGAAACAAAGGCAACTTTCGTGGATTACTCTTACTTTGTACTGAATTAATTATGGTATGTTTTCGCTAAGCGTTACTGTTATCTAGATAAAGCAATCAGATGAATGTATGAAAGGAAATTGTGAACTGTGCTTATAATTATTTAGGTTATCTAACCACGGAAAATGATTTTTGCCATCGTAGATAATTGAAGTCGACAGTAGCTGCAAAAAATCGTCTCAGTGGAACGTGATTTTTCGTCCTTTTAAAAAATTTAATATCTCCTGAAATTAGATGTGTAATTGCTTCGAACCGGCTAAAAAAGCGTTGGGACAGTTAAATTAATTTGATATCGTTCCTTGTACACTAATAGAGTCAACTTTTTTTCATATTATAATATGATTTTTTATTACAGTTTAATTTTGTTGGTAAACTTCTTGGGCCCAAGGGTAACTCGTTAAAAAGACTCCAAGAAGACACCATGTGCAAGATGGCAGTTCTCGGCAGAGGGTCGATGAAAGACAGGCACAAGGTAAATGAAATTCCGATTTCTCCCCTTTTGCATGAATTGAATGACTTAGAATTGTTAAAAAATGGAAATTGCATTTATGTAGAAATTATAACAGTGAGAATTTATGGTACATTGTCTGTCATATCTTCAAAAGCAATTTAAATAACTGATGCGGCTGTGAAACAAACTGACAACTCCATAATATGTTTTGTGTCACATTTTGTATCAAAAACCTCAAGTGTGCAAGTCCTGGCTACCATTTCAAATCATTCAGTCTGTTAAATTTAATATTTTATCACGTAAAGGGCACCATGTTGGTAAATACTGCGGTGACTCGAAATGTTGTCTTTACAATTTCACGAGTTAGAGGCATCGGTTATACGTTTTGACGTTTGTTATTCATCCATAGTACATACGACTTATCACTCCCTCGAGTTTGAGAAATTCACACCGAATTTAGGTTCAATGTGTCGACACCATACATATGTATCAACTAATACCCGATGGCAGAAATGAAATGTTATATTCATAAGTAACAGTGCGTGAATCCCTTCTTCTGTCAGGGCTGATTGTTACATTTATAATTAAATGCGCTGCCTTCTGGTGAATACTTATGTTAACACTTTTTCAGCCGATTTCAACTCTCGTTTGTTATTTAGCCCGACAGTACCTTTTTTTCAGTTGATAAACTAAAATCGTGAATTTTTTAAAAAGGATTAAATATCCCAATATACAAGGTGAATATAAAGTATGGAACTAAGCGGTTTTATTTTTAATCATTTGCCTCCAGAAATAAATAATTAATATAAATTAAAGTAATATAAAAAATGTGACTGTATTTTCAGAACGATATTTTGTTTTGTTTTTGAGTTATGCGATTTTTTTGTTAAAATTGCAATTTATGTGAAAAAAAAATTTTTGAAAAAATTAAATATAAAAGAGATAGTTGTAATCCTTAGTGTAAAGCTTTTCTGAGAAAAATGATTTTATAGTGGGTTGCCATTTAAAACAATATTTTTTTTGTTGAACTCAAAAACAAAAGGAAATTTCGAAAAATTTTATTTTTGTTAAATCATCACATTTTTATAGTACTTTATCACTCATCAATTAGTTTTTTCAAAAATAGTTTAAGCAAAAAACGTTTGGTTCCATACTTTTTATTCACCACTACGTATTTATGTTGCTACTCTAACGCTTGTTTAGCAAACATTTATGCGTCAATCATTTGGTCTCTTAAAACTTATAATTATATGTAATTGAATAAAAAAATCTATTTTATTATTTTATTACTAAGTGTTTAATTTAGGTGAGGGAGGGTCAATATTTGTTGATTCTGTGCAAAAAAAAATGCAAGCGAAATGGGAACACAAGAGAAAACAAAGAAACAAACTAATTTTTCTAAGAAATTGTTTTCCGAACTTCTTTTTTTGACCTTTTTTGTTTTTTTCAATATCTCTAGTTTTTATTTTCATGTTTTAAAATTAATAAATTGAATAGTTAATAGCTTTTAAGACAAGAGTTTAAACTATAAAACTTGTGTTGTCTTCAAAATTTTCTCCAACACTAATATTGGATCATAAGTTTTACTAAATTCAGAAATTGTTATAAAGAAATTTGCCTAACTAATGTGAAAATTGACAAATTGCCAAGATAAGTGTATTTTATCTACTTATAAAATACTCTATGATTAAGGATGTATTTTATAGAAGAGCGTATATTAATAGCAACATTAGAAGTGAACTTAAATGCACCATAGAACAGTATAAAATATTAGTGTTAGAACAAAATTATGGCTTGCAAGATTTATTTATAATATTTATAATATCAAAAGTGAATAGATTTGATAATGCAAGTGTCGACTTTTCATCTAATGTTTTTGAACAGAGAATATGTAAGTGTGTCCTTAATGGAAATTTTATTAAATATTTTAAAGCATTACTTTTACAAGCTTTTATGCTTTGACACAAAACTTTCTAAGAAAACTAGTTCTTCAAAGTATGTACCAGAGATTGTCTTTACGTTTTATCGGCTAAATTTTTTTGAAAGTACGTCTAGGATTTTTGTTTTTATATTACCAAACTGGAAGAAATTTGTAAATAAACAGAATATTTTATACATATATTGATTATTATTTATTACGTCTGAAGCTTTAAAACGATCATTATAAAAAGCGTTGAAGCAATTTATAATACACTAAGAAAATAGGAAATACTTTTTTTTCTGATACTCAAAATGCTTCAAATAAAAAAAGGTAAAAATAAGAGAAAAAAGACCACAATTGATGGTTACTAAAGATAATTGATTATATGAACAATATAATGTGTAATTGAAAAATTTGAATAGAATAGAGTAACAGAATTCAATTTTCCCACAAAACCAATTCAGTCGTGATAAACCGCATCCTAAAATGTACATCGGGGAACACAATTCTTTAGAAAGAATTATTATATATATAGAATTCACATAAAACACTCGTATCAGCAGACGCTTACATAAAACCACAGTTTTTATATACGATACGTGAATTAAGACGCGATGCAAGCGTATTTTTCGTAAATCACCTCTCGTTTAGATAAAATAAAAGACGAAGCTTTTTTTAAGATCGCTGTATTTTTGCAAGAACTGCAAATATAAATGTTAAAGTTTATACAAGAGGTAATGTGTTTTCAAATTGAAAACTCCTATTAGTGTTTACAACACGTTTAGCACGTGTAACATTGTTGAAGCTATTCAAGCTCTGCACTAATTCTGGCCCAAAGTTGTTGGAAATGCAGTTGTTTTTTCTTCGTGTTCAGTTTGTTCAGGCAACCATAATCCATCAATAACTCGAACTGAGATTAATATACTTTATTAAATGTTTGATTTAGTCAGAGAACTGTATTGATTATTAGAACCTGAGGGTGTAATCAATTAATTTATTCAATCGGAGTCGATGAATTAAATGATCCATTTAAAAACATGTATTTGCCGCCAGATTGTAATTGAAATCAATAATTAACAAATATTTCTGTTCCAGTCTGTAATAAATTTCATGACGACTCTTTTATTTTCATTTCCCCTCGAGGAGTCTTTTATCTAAAGACGGTAGTAACTTTTCTTGTAGGTGTTTTCCTTTTACGTGTATGAAACAGTGACGACTTGACTTCCGACGAAATAACGTTATCTAGCTGCTTTTATAATTATGGCTGAAGTGAATATTATTTTCAGGAAGAAGAATTGCGAGCGAGCGGCGACCCAAAGTTCCAACACCTGAGCGAAGAACTGCATGTCGAAATAAGTGCTTTTGCAACTCCTGCTGAAGCTCACGCCAGGATCGCGTATGCTTTAGCGGAAGTTCGAAGATTTCTTGTACCGGTAAGTATGAAAAATTTTCAGCTCGGATTATCGTTTCGACTAATTTCATAGATGTTTTAATGAAATTCAAATTGCCTCGCACATCCGATGCATGTTTTCTGCACTTGGCGGAATTAAATGAATTATTTATAGGCAACAGTGTAATTGCGCCTCTCTTTGAAATTAACGTTTTGTTCTATGAGACACTAACGCCGTTAGTGGAGCAGCCATTAAAATGCTAGATAGTTGTTGCCATATCAAGTTATGATAACTTTTGATGCAGGCTCGTAAAACCAAATGAATTATTTAGGAATACAAACCCATTAAAAATTTTACTACCCTCATCGACATCGACAAAAATTTATCGATTCGGTTCGAGCTGAGAGGTGTATGCTTTACGATTTCCAATTAATCTCAAACAATTTGGTTTTGGGATTAGTGGCCCATGTTTTATTTAACCGATTTCATAGAGAAATGAGATATTGCGATAATGTGCGAATATTATATAATAGCAAATGTAATTACCTATTTTAACCATAAAACGAATTATTACATGGGTTAAGTGAGTCAGAACTCGTATATGTCAAATTAAAGCGATGTAATCAAAAATACGACTAATTTTATGATCAATTAAATGTCAGAAGGGCGACTCGTGGTCGTTGCAAATTACCAGACGTAATTTATCTCGGCTAATATTGTGCGGCCAACGGAAAAAATACGATAATTATCTTCTTGAGTAAAACATGGGAAGAAGTGTTTTGTTAATTTATCAATTTTCTTTTACGAGCAGCACTTAAGTAATTGCAACTTAAATAAATAGACATTCTTTCTGACTTTTTGCTCAATATTTTAACTGCTTATACAAAATGTTTTCTTTAATGAAATGTTATTTTCATCTTTAAATGCTTGAACAGATGCTTTTAAATTCTCAATGTAAAGGAAGAAGTTACGACCAAAGAAAACAAAATAGCTGCTTAACGCAAAGAATCTATTTCTATTTTATGTTGACAGAAATGGGACCTCACAGAAATTACAGCTTAGTGATTGAAAATCAAGACCGTCTGGCAATTTCGCAGGACGCGACGAAACGTCAGACACTGATATGTTTATAATTACTTACTATAACTTTAAACTCATTTTTATCTAAAGCAAAAAAATAATACCAGCTTTTAATTAAGTTAATTTGAATGTGACTTTGTTGAATTTTATAATCTATATAAGGTGAATATTTTTTTACGATAATTTTTGAAAAATTATAAGCAATTTTGTATCTACTCTAGATGCAGATAGTAAAACTACTACCGTTTCAATTTCACCATAATACGTACATACAGTACGTACTACATACACTCTGTGGGATCGTGATCAGAAAATTGGATAAGGTCTGAAACAGCAGAAGTAGCCAGTATCCTCACATAACTGTAACCTAAACAAAATAATACCTTTAAATGTGCAGTAATGATACTAAATAGAAGAATCCCCATATTGCCTGTTTGCGCAGACACTTTCATGTCTGGATGTCGTTAAGGCTCTACCAAACGTTACAGTTTTGATGGCGTGCACATTCTTTCATTAAAACTGAGAATTATATCAACGTAATCAATTTTTCTGCCAGCTCGGACTGACACGTCTAAATGTTCATCCCAGCTCATCTTTGCGTCTTGTTAAATCATTCATCTTACAGCTCTTTTTGTGCACCTATCGTGATTTTTTCCTCTGTAATATTTTATTTCTAGACTTCAATCATATTATGAGCTTCAATTCTTGTCACTCAAATTGTCTCAATTTCAGCTTTAGCATTCCTCTCTTAAATCTCATTTTATATTTCAGTCGAATATTTGAAATTAAAACTTTATGCTTGTACCGTTTTTTTTAATTCAGTATTGTTTGGCTTTTATAATCGCTACAAACCATAAATACTGGAGACTATCTTCATAAAATATCCTTTTATGTAGGTACATTGCCTTGATTTTAATGAGTTGAACTGATTTAAAAAAAACTGATCATTGACGTTATTTGCTTTTTATTACAGCTGGACAGGATTTATAAGTATAAACATAACTGTGTTCATTAAATTATGTGTTTTTTGTTGCTATTACCCTTACACTTTATCGGTATATGGGTGATATTCTAATTTAAATGACATCTTACACGCACGAAATGGCTCTCTTCGTTCTCAAACACTTTTATTAAATCGTTCTTAGTAACAAATGGAAAGTAAAAGGACATCAAATAAAAACGCTTAAGAGCTTTTTAGGTGTACTTGTATAAATTTAAAAGATATTGGATTAGGGTCAATTGGAAGGAAAGTATTGAATTTGGAAATGTCAAAATATCTTGCATTTATCCAAACAAAGTTTTTAGCAAAAAAGTGGAGTTGTTTTTACATGACATTCAATTTTTCAATTGCAAGATGCACATTTGCACACATATTTCAAATTTATTTAAAAATTGGTCAGTTAGGGTCACTGTTATATTCACAAATAAAAATACAAGAAAAAAGCATTGCATTCGGTAAACTTATGTAAAAATTTTGCTTTAAACTTGATATTCATCACGAGTAAAAACACACTTGTTTATATTTAGATGAATTATGATTTGGCTTATTATTTTAGTTTCGCATACGAGTGAACCTGTCTTAGTTATTACTATTAGTATAGTTTACACGTACGTCATCAAATTTCTCGTGTTAGTTTAGGTTGTCTCACATATGGGTTGGAGCCTGCATAGTACAGGTTCTTGCGTGCCACTCCCTGGAGAGGTGTAGCGATTCTGCCGCTTCCGTTTTCCTGCCTCCATGTCATCTATTTTTTGTATTTAATAAATTGGTCTAGCACATAAATTGACACCTAGTTTAAGTGCAAACGACGTGAAAATACTTGCTCAATGCAAAGATTGATTTTTATTAAATATTTTGTCACAAATCGTACAAAACTACTTAAATTTTGTAGTTTAAAACGGGAGGAAGGTTTTATTTAGCTATCAGCAGTTGTGCTTGAAACCATTAATATTGTATAGCCGAAGCTATGTATCTGCATAATGTAAACATGCTGGGCGGAAGCAGCTCTTTATATTTAACAACTTAAGATTGTTAGCGAAAGCTCCGATCGTAAATCAATGGTATCGGATGGTTAATGCTAACCTTTGCCAATACAAACGGAAGTTAGATTATCTTCCTAACGGTTGAAATGTGCGTTATTTATTCACAAGTTCCGTTTCCACCTAGATTTAACAGCGACTTAATGGCGTAGTTAGTCGAGTATTAATTCCGGGCAAAGTCATCTGGCCATTTGTCTTTTGATACGATTATTTCTGTCTTTCATTGCGGATTAGGTGTATTGTAACGTGAAAAAGAATGGGCAATTTCAGTGCAACGTCTGGTGGCATCCCTTAAGTGCCTAATTAAACCCAAATGCGGGCCCAACAGTAAACAAACAACTTGTAGATATAATTAACAATTGTAGCAACCACAGCACCGAATTGTACTTATCCATTTAAAGGGCTAATTATAGAAGACGCCCTTTCAGTTTCAAACTTGGTTAATTGTTCTCGTCTTAGGCGGTTGTTTGTTTTTGACGAGTGACATACTTCACACTGCACGTCCGCCATTTTAAATGCAAAAGCCACATTATTGTTGCTTACCCGATTTTACAACTTGAATTAGCCAATTAGCTAATAAACTTAACTCTTTTCACAATTTTCCTATTTACAACAAAAAGCTTTTTTCAACTTTTAATCATCATGTAAAAGTGCAATACTCTGTAATGCATTGTGTTTTTAAATTACAATTACATTTTGTATTTTCTTTTTATATTTGTTGTGTTCAATTTTGCAACCTTTTATGAATGTTCGAGTATATGGCTGTAAACCACATTATAATTAATAACACCTTTTTATTTAAAAAGTAAAACATTTGTTAATGAAGAAAAAATATGTATGATGTACTTTTCATAAAACATCTGTAAGACAAATATTTTAATTAAGTACCTCAAACTCTTTCACAGAGATACGCAGACTGTGACTATGTAAATAAGTTTCTTGTCGTGTCAGTTAAATGTTATTACTCGTAGGTGTAATGCTCTTAAAATAACGCACATTTGCAATTCCGTGCCCGCCGTGGAAATAAATATTTCGAATGTAATTTCTCCTATACCGGCGCCTCCACCAATTTTAAATTGTCTCAAAAACTCGCTATTTTTTTTTACAACTCCCGTCATTATTCATCAGAATGTCTAGTGGGATAACCGCGTGTGCGCTTGTTGTTAATTAAACTTGATGTTTCGTCTGTCTCATTGCACAGTTATTCTCAACTTGAAATAAAACAGAATGGCATGGCATTTAGTTAAAAACAACACATGGAAAGTTGTTATAACTTAGTTGCTTCTTTTGCTCATTTTTGTTTATTATTAAATTTTGTTTGTATACGTTCATTTTGTAAATTCTACCGCCTAGACGAACAAAGACCAAAAATTTTAATTTTGTTTGAAAAACCACTTTTATAAAATCGCCCAAGGTTATAAAAACAAAGAATAATAACTTGTACAACAAAGGAAAAACAGTTAACACACTTTTGTAACCTAAGATTAAACTTTTTACATGAAAATTCTGCAGCATTAAACAAAATATTAAACAAAAACTAATTTATGGAAAGTACATAAGTACGAGTATATTTCATTTCATCAGCTTGGGAATAATTTAAATGATGAAAATCAATATAAACTGCTTCATAATAAAGCTCCTCATCATGGAAATTTCATGAGATGTCAATCACTTGTCACGTATACATCTCTTTAAAATTTCTTTACATATCAGTTATTTAGGCGAAAGTTACATTCAGTTTCAGTTTGAAAAGGGAATATATTTCAGTTTCCATATCAATAATTTTATACAATATAAATTTCAGGGTAATACGGGTAATTCAAAGCTCGTGTTTATAATAACCATTAAAATTTAAACCTAATTCTATCATATGAACCATATATGATTTTACTTGGTGCACATATTAAGTACAATGTAAATCA